CTTCTTCTCCAGGTGGTACCAGACAATCACCTCTCAGCAGGCAGTCAGGGGTTCCCGGGCAGTCAGGAATTTGGCAGCCAACTCCTCTCCATCCTGGATCACAGGTGCACTCTTTCACAGCAAGGTTGCATGTGCCATGGTTACTGCAGTCATGTGGCCATCCAGGACACCCTGGGATAGAGCACACATCTCCTTTATATCCGGCTTCAAAGTAGCACTCACAAGTATTGTTGACGCAAATGCCGTTGCCTGAACAGACGTCATGGCAGCCTATACCACTGTAGCAGTCCTCACAGATGCATTCTGTGCCATTGATGTTGTTGCCATGGAGGCAGGGAATGTCGCAAATTTCCCCTGCCCAGTCTGACTCACAGAGACACGTACGTGGTACTGTTGGTAGACACTTTCCATGACCTACAGATGAAAACAAATATGTACACTGTCAGTCTCAAGCATGGCATTACTACTGAGAGAATAGAGGCATCTGGTATATCTATGATTTGTACTACTACTACAATTAAGGAATGCCATTTAATGTTGCCTGTTTAACACTAATTTGATACTACACAGAAAAGCCTTTGAAGCTTCCCAATAAAAAGTTCCATGCATATAGAAAGGAGTGCAAATTAACAGTTACTGTACTGTAACTAAATTTGTTGAGTACCTGAGCAGCTTGGTGATCCTGGGCAGTCTGGAATGCTGCAGTCATCCCCATCCAGCCAGGGTAACACGTGCAGGTCTGTGTGGCTGAGTTACAGGAACCATGAGCATTACAGTCCTCACCAGGACAGCCTTGCTGCTCACACAGCTCTCCCACAAAGCTGTTCCCAACCATCCAGTTGTCGCACTCACATCTACCATTGACACACTGACCATTGCCAGAACATTCACTGTCACAGTTGTATCCGGTGTAACAAGTATAACATTTGCAGATGCCACTGTCCATGGGTTCTTGCTTTCCATGGACACATGGGTCGTCACAGGCAGGACCCATCCAACCTTCCTGGCAGTTTGTACAAATGGGTGTAGATCGTCCTGTACCATTACAGTACCCGCGGTTGTTGCAGTCGGGTTCTCCTGGGCAATCTGGGGTTTCACAGCCATTTCCACTCCAGCCAGGGAAGCAGAAACATTTATGTTGAACGCTGTTACATTCCCCATGTCCACTACAGTCTTCCCCTTCTCCAGGACACCCAGGGATTTCACACAGGGAGCCACGCCAGTTGTCAGAGCACCTACATTCTCCATTTTCACATACACCATTGCCTGAACATTCACTGGTACAACCCCGGCCAGCATAGCAAGCATCACACACACAGTTACCGCTGTCCATGGGTTCTTGGTGGCCATGCTCACAGGGGTCATTACAGTCTGCACCCATCCAGCCTAGTGAACAATTGGTACATCGCGGTGGGTCAAAGAGTGCATTACATGTGCCACGATTGTAACAGTCAGGATGTCCAGGGCAATCTGGGTCCTCACAACCAATATTGGTCCAGCCTGCATGACAGACACAGGTGTGTAGAGCGCTGTTACATTCACCTCTTCCTGAACAGTCCAGGTTAGACATACCTGGACAACCAGGGATGTCACAGTGTTCCCCCTTCCAGCCTTCTTCATAGAAGCAGACACAGTGGCCGTTCTCAATTGTTCCATGTCCAGAACACTCTGAGTCACATCCTACTCCCACCCATCCAGAGTCACAAACACAGTTCCCACTGTCCATTGGCTCTTGATGTCCATGAACACATGGATCCTCACAGGCAGGGCCCATCCAACCTTGTGTACAGTTCCGACATACGGGTGGACTAGTAGATCCATCACACATGCCTCTTCCAGCACAATCTGGACTTCCTGGGCAGTCAGCATATTCACAGCCTGCCCCTGTCCAGCCTTCATAGCATGTACACTGGTGTGTTGCACTATCACAGCCACCCCTCCCGCTGCAGTCAAGTCCAAAGAGTCCTGGGCAGCCAGGTACATCACAGAGCTCACCCTTCCATCCTGTGTCATAATCACATTCACATCTGCCACCAACAATGACTCCATGCTCTGAGCACTCTGAGTTGCATCCCAACCCAGCCCAACCAGGATAACACCTGCAGTTGCCACTGTCCATTGGATCTTGAACACCGTGGACACATGGGTCATTACAGGCTGGCCCCATCCAGCCACTGATACAGTTGGTACACGTTGGCGTTTCCCCTGTTGTGTTACAGAAACCACGTCTGTGGCAGTCAGGAGTTCCTGGGCAGTCTGGGATGTGGCAGCCAATACCAATCCATCCGTTGTAGCATTCACACTCATGAATCCCACTATTGCAGTCTCCATGGCCAGTGCAGTCTTCTTCAATGCCTGGACATCCGGGGACTTCGCAGACATCACCTCTACGTCCACTCAGAGGATCGCAAATACATGTAGAGTTGTCATCTGAACATGTGCCATGACCAGAGCAGAGACTGTTACACCCTTTTCCACTCCAGCACGGCTCACAGACACAGACCCCACTGTTCATTGGCTCCTGCACACCGTGCACACATGGATTGTTACAGGCCGGTCCCATCCACCCTTCTTGGCAGTTCTGGCATGAGGGTGGGTTTGTGGTGGAATTGCAGTGCCCTCTGTCATAGCAGTTGGGTTCTCCTGGACAGTCAGCAACTGTACAGTCCTCTCCCTTCCAACCTGGTTCACAGATACACTCATGGAGGTAGGCGTTACAGATGCCTCTTCCAGAGCAATCTTCTCCTTGGCCAGGGCAACCTGCGATTGTACACAATTTTCCTCGCCAGCTTTCTATGCACTCACATTCTCCACCATTGCAAGTTCCCTTCCCATTGCATTCAGAGTGACAGTATGGGCCAAGGTAGCATGAGTCACACTGACAGTGCCCATTGTCACAAGAACCATGTCCACTGCACAGAATAGAACAATCACTGCCTGTGTGGCAAGGGTCACATACGCAGGTGCCGTATGGACTACAGACACCATTCCCACTGCAGTCTACTGTAGGGTCACACTGATGTTCACATCGGTAGCCTACAAAGCCTGGGTTACATTCACACTCACCAGTTGTATCACAAACACCTTGTCCGTTACAGGTCCCGACATTATCACACTTGACCTGACAGCCAAGCCCGGTGAAACCGTCATTACAGGTGCAGGATTCTGAGTCTTCTTGCCACACACCACGGCCGCTGCAGCATGTGTTTACTTCAGATATTGTTCCAGCTCCGGAGTTGTGTGAGGAATCCTTGACTGTGCGACGATACCGGAGCACCTTGGGAAGGCTATTTGGTGAGTAGCTTCTGATGCGGCCACCTCCACCATCACCACCAGTGTGAGTGCCACAGCAAGAAGAACTCCAACTACATAAATTATAACAATGGCTACTACCATCACCACCAGTACTTGAGGTACCTGCCCATCCTTCCATGTATAATCCATCAATCCATATTGTGCCTCCACTTCCTCCTCCCCCGCCTAAAGATGCTTGAGATCCATCAGCAGTCAATGTTCCCTCCAGTTGTAGCAATCGGCTGCTCACCACCTTCATGGCTCCACCTCCTGTGCCTCCCCCACCTTCAGAGCAGTCTCCACCTCCACTGCCCACCCATGTTGGGGAGCATTCTGCGTCATATGTCCCTCCTGCACAGGAAAATTCCCCTCTTCCTCCATGCCCTGCCCCACCTCCATGACCACCACTGCAGGTACTACCATATCCAGGACCACGTTTACCACGTTCAGCAACATAACCACCTCCGTTAGCTGTCATGACAGCAATCTTTTCTACCTTTGTATCAAGCGTGTAGATAACAACACCATCCCCGACACTTACTTCCCCTCCATAGTCCACATCAAAGTATTCAGACGTCCTGACTTGAACAGAGTAGTGATGAAGGTTTGTTGTCCTGCCTCGCATAATTTCTAACTTTCCTCCATTGAGAACAGTTACCCCTGTGAACCAGTATTGACCTCTTTCTCCACTTCCCAGTGTACAATTGTGACAAGCACTGTACCCAGAGTTGTAAAACTTAACAGTTCCCTTGACATAAAGGTGTTCAACTCCATATAGGGCACCTCTAACCTGCAGGGTGGACTGTATTGTGGTCTCTAACGGTAGGACCAAGAATCCCCCACTTTCCACCACAACATTGGCAGGTATGAATGTGCAAAGTTCATCAGTTTGGATGAATGCAATGTGATTGTTTCTGATGGTGAGTGTCCCCGTCCCATCTCCAGTAATCAGTGTGATTCTCACTGTTGCACTTCCACTTGGTAACTGTAATAAACAAACATGTTTAGCATTGGTTGTGGCAGATTGTATGACACACTGTTAAAATCATCATGGTATGTCATGTTGCTGTCATCACATATAGAAATCAAATCAATTCCTTACTAAGACAAGATGGCATGAAACAGTTAAAACAACAATAACAACACTTTCTTATTTATCTAATGTGTACAATATGGATGCAATGTACCAAGCAACCAAACTAACATCTATTCTAAATGTCCTTTTACCTGCTTGGTTCGCAGACATGCCTTTCGCACAAGATGGACTCGGTGGAAGGTGAAGTTGCCTTGGCCACTTTCGTCGATGACCACATGATTGCGGCATGTTCTACCTTTGTTGTCCAGCCAGAGTTGGTTATACACTGTGTCACCCAGTGTCTCCCGGATGTAGACAGTCCCTGCTGAACCATAATGTCGTCCATACGCTCCGAGGGCTTCAACAGTCCCTTGGAAGCTAAAGGTCTCCCGTTGGTGGATGGCTACCCGTCCACCACTTCCTCCACCATTTTCTGTTTGATACAACACAAAACGCATAATTATGTGCGATTCTGTTCAATGCATCCAGACACAGAAACAGAATCACCTGGCAGGTGTTTGTGAGGAAACTGCTTAAAGGTTGTAGTTAAGTTCTAGAGTTAATTAATGTGTAGTACTGGACTGCGTGCCAAGTTGATTACAAATCAAGGAAAGGACCAGGAAAAACTGACCGAAGAACATCACAGACTGCATGTGTCAAATTCCAGACTGAAGGTCATTTGTGTCATACTTATTCATACTTACATGTACTAGTAGTGAATCTTAAAGATTCAGATATCTATATTTGGGCATGTTGTCAAAATACATCAATTGCCAGAAGGAAACCTGTTACTATCATCATAGATGTATCAACTAAAGCTATTTTTTCAATTTGTTCAATTCTGCACACATTACATAACGTCATAGCAATTAAGGTCTTTTTTATTTTTACAAACTAATTTTAGAGTAGCCTACCATAATGGCTTGATAAGACCTTTCCAACACCCCCATTTGCCTGCACCAGTCCATGTCCTGTGATCTGCTGACAGTTTATCATGACGGTACCACCGCTGCCACCACCGCTGTCTGCTTGGGCTTCACCATCCTCACCATTGCTTGAAATAGTTCCATCCAGAAAAACATCCTGCAGAAATACATTGAGGAAGAGTATTTCAACCTGAATTCATATTGGCAAACATATAATCTTATAACTTTTTTAAAGCAAGTTTTAAGAATTACCTACACATAATGTCCTTGTGCACATACACTCACTGGATTCAATGGAATGCAAACAAATTTAAAGTGTTTGAGTCCCAGAGTAACATTCCTATACTGAAGAACAAGAACAATTTTTAGTACATTTTCATTAGTTAAGAAACATTTTATCTGTCCAAATCTGGAGATCAGGAGAAAGGCAAAAATTACCCTGCCAGTTTGGATTTGGAGATGTCCTCCCCCTGATCCTCCTGATGCTCTGCCTCCACCACTCCCTGGGTCAGAGGGCAGGATCATGGACCCATAAGCACTGCCTCCTGAGCTGCTTTCTCCATCACCACCTAGTCATAAAACAAAGGAACATTATGGGGATGCATTGTTCATAAAGGCCTTTACTGATATATTAAACAGAGGTTACTTCTTTTCAGAGAAAATGACAATGGCATCAATAATAGTTTTTACCACAAAATGTTTGGTTTAGTCATGATGACATATTGATTGTACAGTAATGGACACGGTAGTATTATTAGGCAGAGTAGAGCTTTAAAATTATACATACTAGATAGTAGAGGTCATTCCTGATTGAATCTTACCTGGTGAGGCATATCCACCACCAGAGCCAGTGCCACCAGCTCCAGGGCCTTGACTTGCATCATAGCCTCCTCCTGTTGATGTCATCTCTGCACTTCTTTCAATCCTCAAGGCCGTTGTGTTGATGGTTGCATGATGTGTGTCAATCTGTATCACACCTCCATCTTTGATTTCTACCACCCCAATGTCAAACATTGCATGAATGGGTGTAAGTTCGACTGTCACCTTTCCTAGGTTGTTTACAGTGAGGCTTCCTGCGGTGATGAGACCAGGTGTGTAGGGTTCAAATGGATCATCACTGTACCACTGTGCCTCTTCAGGTAGAGATGCCGTGTGGGCAGTTCCAGTGATACGAAGTTCCCCATTTCTCTCTATGTAAAGCTCTTCGACTCCAGTCATCCGACCTTCCAAAACTGTCATCTCACTTAACAGTACAACTGTTGTAGGGAGGACCACCTCTCCACCTTGGTCAACATGGAAGCTGCATGGTGCATCCAAGTATGTATGTGTAGACTCAACAATGTGGATGAATAACCGTTGTCTGTTCTGTACTCGGATCAGTCCTTTCTTATTTCCAGTTAGTTCATGAGCAACCACTGTGACATTCACAGCTTCTTCTGGATGGTAAAAGTGTACATAGGAATAACCTTCCACTTGAATCTCGTCAAACTCGTAAAATGTTGTATTGACTTCCATCACCATTGCAGGATGATCAACATCTTTTTCTCCATTGTCAATCTTTAACTTGGAGTGATCAGGTTTGAAAACCGTGACATTTAAGTTAGGGTTGTATTTCAGTTCGCGATACTGTGGGCCTCGGCGTGACTCATACTTGTACACAGTTCCAGCTGCACCATCGCCAACCTCGTCCACATTAGCATTACCACCACTTCCACCCTGGGCTGTAAACTTTCCGCCATAGTTGTTCTGGTGGCGTATGTGGATACCGATTCTTCCTCCTGCACCGCCACCACCCTTTTGGTTTCCGTCCCCACCATTGACATTGACCTCACCATGGCCAGTCATGTTTGTTGCCTCTATCAGAACGCTACCTCCACTTCCACCACCTCGTGCCAGCATCCTGTCCATCTCCACCTTGTACAGAGATAAGTCCATTCAGGTGTATGAGCTTGCCAATCTTCCAGTGAAGGGGTCCGCCTCCAGATCCACATTTCCCAGCACTTCCACTGGGTCCTCCACCACTTCCCATGTCCAGTGGTGTAAACACAGAGCCATACGGTTGCCCACCACTTTCTGGGTTGTTAGCTAAGCCAACTCCGCCTCCCTGGCCTCCATGTCCTGCTCCTGTTCCACCTCCATCTGTCCCTATTGACCCAGATCCTGGACCTTCTCCACACTGATGTCCAGCAGCATTAAGCTCCAAGATCCCTTCACTTTCCAGATCTGCATTACCAGACTCAATCAAGGCTTCGTTCATATGCACAGTGCCTTCATATTTGATTTCAAAGAATGCTGAGTTGAAAACAACCTCGGTATCTATGCGTGTGAATCTAATGCGACCACCACGTTTGATGACAGTCTGTGGAAAAGTGATGTTTCCTTCCTCTGTAATTTCACTGTATGTCCCGTTAGACAGCAGGGCAGTCTGTGCTGTTGATGTTAATTCCAGATATGCCCCTTTCTCAACATACACATGGTGGACTCCTGTTAGAAGACCCTCCAATAGTGTATCTGTACCATGGAAGTGTACCTCAAATGGCAGGATCATTTCTGCACCGTAATCTATGATGAAACTGCAAGGTGCCTCTGTTTTATTGTTCACTGATTCCACCACTTCCACATACACAGCCTGGTTGTTACGGATATGTAGCTGACCTGTCTTGTCTCCAATGAACCTGTGTACCACTACATTGACTTGCTCACCTACAGGATGGTACAGTATGAGTCGAGCAGCACCTGTTAGTTCCATTTCATCAAACTCATATTCAGTTGTCAAGTCTTCCATGACCATGGTCGCAACTGGAGCTTTGTAACCTTCGTTGTCAACATGGATGTATTTGTGGTCTACTTCTAGGAAT